CTGCCGGTTAGTTCTTAACCGCTTGAAAGAAATCGTCACATATTCAACATGTGTGGCAGGTTTATTAATAGAACAGCCAAAATCCATGCCTTACACGCGATGGGAATGTCATCCTGGAATCACTAAGAAAGGACTTATGTCGCACCTGAAACGTTGCGTCGTTTAGTCTTTTACCGATTGAAAAAGACACCAGATTCGATTCTGGGGGTATTCATCCGAAGCTAAGTCAGCGATAATCCAACGTACTAATACACCGTTAGCGGGTAGCCTGATTCCCGTAACAATGGCCGAGCCTATGTATTCAATATCATAGCACAAAGCCTCAGAGATTCACTCTCTTAGGCCACCACGTTACATGCCGAACGCGATTTGACATCGCATGGCTAGTCCGCACATCAAACGTTAGTCGTAAAGGCAATATCAACCCGTTGAAGGCTGGCTGGGTTAGCTAAAAACCCTTAAAGCAACGCCTAACACCGCGTCGCCGGGAGTCTATCCGCGTAAAAAAAAAAGGACAGTCTCACGTATTCAATATCATAGCACTAAAAGGGTTAACTTTAGCCTTAACGTCAACTGCGCGCGAACGACATGAAACAATCCGCATGGCTGAGCCCGACTCAAACGAGGCCGGTAAAGTCTCATCAAACCCGTTAATGGCCTGAGGGTTTGCCAAAAATCCGATAATAACGAGAAGTCACGAACGCATTCAGCTCCATATAGTTGGTCTCGTGACTTGAGCATCAACGATGTTGCTAAACCCTAAGGCATACGCCAGACAACGCTACCTAGGTTCAACGGCAGTCAACGCGCGTTGCGATCAAAAGGTCACCGTACCGACCGGTTAAAACCGATGGTCAACGTCCGGACAACGCCGTACCTTAGGTCAAACGGCCAGTCAACGCGTTTGCGAGCCCAAAAAATTTCGAAACCCTAGGTTAACGCCAGGTCAACGCATAAACCCTAGGTCAACGCCCAGTCAACGCGGTGCAAGCAAAAAATTCAACGTACCGACGTCCAAAATCCCTAGTCAACGCCTGGACAACGCCGTAACCCTAGGTCACGCCTGATCAATGCGATTGCAATGAAAACATCATACTCCAAAAGTATACGAGTTATAAACTGTTCGTACTCCGAAATAGTACAAAGATTAAACTGCTTCTATAATACTCGAACGTAGTTACGAGTATAAATGCTTCTTACTCTCCAATAAGGTAATATGATATCAAACTGTTCCCTAATTTCGGTTGAGAAGTCTTCATGGGAGTATTTTTTCTAAAAATAATTCTTCAAGGATAACTCACAACACCCAAACCGGACAACGCGTCGCACATAAAAACCGACGCCAGCAATCGATGGTCAATTCTACGAGCTGCAAGACATCAAAAATCATCGGAATCGACTTAAGGTTTTCAAAAATTCCGACAACGGTCAGGACAATAATGCAGCACCGTGCGACCCTTACCAGACATTCGACGAGCATCGAATAGCCTGAAGGATGAAGAATCAATGACAAAGAGTTTCCCAAGTCTCCATTACACCGACTGAAGGTTGGGACATGCAATAATCCAAAGTATTCAAGATCTTCTAATAAAACGAACGAGACTGAAATACTTTGGAGGCGGTATCTGTGGGCATATGAAATTGCTTATAGCGTCCCTTTTACTCCCAGCCACCGCACCAAACGACAAACCAACCGGGACGACGAGACATACTAATCGCATCAACGACGAAATACATCCATACACTAGGAATCAAGCCAAAGTGTTTCGGCAGGACGTCAACGAAGTCATCCAACAAAGGCACTACTCAGACGAATTAGACGATCGGAATCTGAAACGGTTTCGGACTCCAACTCAGAAGCGGATTTACTGCCTAATCGGTCCCTACGCCAAATCAGGATCAAATCAGAGTCTGGATCACCGAATCACGGACAGACCCAAAGTGTCGGAAAACAGCCAGAAAACCAAACACCCGGAGGGGCTCGGAACCAAGTCACCGAGGCGGCTCACCGAGCCACACAAGGTGGCCTCGGTGGCCGACCACCAAGTGGGGCTCGGGCTGAGCCACCTAAGTGGCTCGCGTGGCCGAGCCACCTTAGGGCGTGCTCGCCACTCTCACGAGCACAAAATGTGCTGGTCCGAAGGGCCGAGCCCCTCTAGTGGCTTCGGCCACCTCCGCAGCCACCAATTGGTGGCTCGCGGAGAGCCGAGCCACCTCCTGTGGTGGCTCGGCGGCCACAAGTGCTTCGGCCACCACGCAGCCACCAAGAGGTGGCTCGCGGTGGCCGAGCACCACAAGGTGCCGGCCGGCCGACTGCACTGGACGCAGCACTTGCCACACGGCCCGGGCCACCAGTAACGAGAGCCATACTATAATAGGCCCAACGAGGTCTTCCATTATCAAAGGCGGTATGGAAATTTGAGAGGAAGAGGGACAGCCCTGCTGGGAATTGGAGCACTCGCGAGATTTAAAAAGATTGAACTTTGGGATTCGCGGGACTCACTCCTTCAATCTGGTGCTCGCGATATCACATGTCAAAAAAGAAGCGTGATCGAGAGGATCAGATACTCATCATCGTCAGAGCTACTCCGCGAATCTAAGCTTGTTCTTCAGATCCGAGACTTTGAGACGCATTGTTTCACCTTGGTGAAACAAATCCTCCTCGGCTATATTTCTGCGTTGAAATATACCCCGCTCGTGACTGCGTAGATCCGACCGCGAATCGGAGATCTCGCGGTTGGTCACGTGCAACAACCCTGGCGCTAAAGAACCACCAACGCGACGCGACCGCAAACAGACGAGCTCGCGTTCGTTCGACACAAAAGGAGAAAGTTGTAATCTTTGTTTATTTTTAATTTGATTTTACGTTGTAACGCGCATCTTATAAAAAAGACCGGAGTCTTTTGTAACTCAAACAAGTTGTAACTCCAAGGATAAAATGGCGAGATCCTAATACCAAAAAAGACACGAATTTTCCAAGCGAACAATCAATATTGACCTGCCACCAACTGCCTGTAGCATACTGTACGACCAAGCACTTGTGTTGTGAAGCCCTGTCTTCCTCAACATCTAATTTGTTCCGTAAACTATTATGCAACAGCTTCCTGTCTCCTCATACGGTTCTATATGTGCAATGACATGGGTTTTCATCCCCCACGTTATTTTGACAATTACTTTAATTACATTTGTTTTATTAGGAAGTTTTGCGAAAGTTGTGCAAAGAGAAGACCGTCAGGATGTATCAAGGAAGAATAGGTTTGGCTTAATAACGAAAGTAGTCCGATGATGATGATGAGTTGATTGCCGAAGGAAACCTATGTGATGTCGTGTAAATAATTGATGAAAAGTTTGTAAACATTTTGTTCTAGATTTTGCGTGAATGTATTATTTGAAGTTATATGGATTGATTATTAGATATAATTATATTGTGTTGGAATGAATATATAATTTCTTTTTGTTCAAATATTGTTATATGCATCCCATAGTAGATTCTCGCAAAAAAAAAAAAAAAAAAAAAATACCTGAGCGAGTATATCCTAGGACGCGAAATTCCGTCGTAGGATCACCTTAAAATTCCGTCTAGCATGCCTTTAATACAAAAAAAAATTTTAAAAAAGTAAAAAACATCAATTCGTTCTAGAATGTTATTTAGACCGCGAAATTCGTCTGAATACTCATTCTAGACGAATTTTTTCCGTCCTAGGCATGAATTATTTCAGACGAATTTGCGTCTGAATAATCCGTCTAGGACTGTATTCTAGATGCAAATAAAACCGTCTAAAATATTCTATAATTATTGGCTCTCGATAGAATGTAGTTCACATGATTCTAGAGATAACAGTTATATCCCTATTTCAGCTAAATACTCCACTATAATTTCTAGACTTTCCAGATAAGAGAACCAGATATATGAACATATTAATACATAATTAATACAAGGATGGCTACTTAACAGACATCAACTTTATGATTAAAAGCTGCTATGCCCAAATATTAATACATAATTATGTGCAACTATGCAAACGAATAATTGACAGATTGGTTATCCATGTATTAGTATTGGGTCTGATTACCACTCCACCAATTGCCTAATGATATTCTAATCCATGAATCATATTAAGAAAAGGCATAAGATATACAGATATAAGCAAAAGCATACTCACACTGAGGATGAGACTGGAAATGAAAAGGTGAAACATTTTTTAGGCTTCTCTGGCATCATCTGACACTGTTCTGCTGTATGGATTCCAGACGTGCACCTTAAACTTACCACTGCTTTGGCTCTCAACAGCATCTACAATGGATCTTAAACCTGAAGCTTCTGGGACAAAGACAACTTCTATTTCTGAAACAGCATCATTAACAATGAAATTCCACATAAGAACAGAAAACAGTGGTAAGTATGAGCTCCTCTGTCTTCTTTGTTTGCATTGTTAAAGAATACTGATATACTTTAACTATTTATTCTTCCATCGGAATAGGCACACGGAATTTTACCATCAGAATATCACATGGCATTTTACCTTCCTGCTTTAAAACATATCGTCTCATCTATTTATTCTTCCATCTTTTAAAACATATCATCTCATCAAGGGTCAATCCTATAAGTTCCTACTCATCTATTTATTCTTGCTCAACATAGAGAAAATTCTGGTAAGGTTCATTGATATTTCCAATATTCACCTCTAGTCATCAGCAGCCTTTTAACCATAAGTATTGAGCCTGGGTTTTGCCATACTAGGATAGCTGCTACCAGCATATTTAGTAACACGTCACTAGAAATACAAGTCTAAACAAAACTATAACACACTAGACATATAATGTATTACATAAATAGTGGAAATAGCAGCAGTTAGTAAGCAAAACAAAGCTCTTAACATGGAATTGAATGATTGTTTACGTGTAATTTACTTCAAAACTAAGAAATCTAACCCAACATTAACAGACATATATACAAAAGATGATGAAATAAAAGAATGAAGGCAACTTTAAGCACAAAAGAAGAAAAAACACTCCCCATATTTGAAATATCAGGAACATCACCCAAAAATCATAATTTCACATGATCTTATAACATATGAGCAAGCAAACAATAAGTCAAAGAATTCATGTTCTCTTCTTGTAACTCAATCGCCAATCCAACTAAAACTACAAAGCAAAAGCAGCATCCTATCATTTCGCAAAATAGAGCCCAAAGAATTATAAATGAAAGAATCAAAACTCAAACCTTGGTGGTGGTGAAGTAGCATCACTCGCTTCCGCCTTCCGGCTTCCTCCAAGTCCTCTCGGTCCTCTCCTCCTTCAACCCATTACCCACCCCAACCTCCTTCCTCCAAGCATTACGCTTCGGTTCCCTAATCTTCACAGCCTCAAGCTTCTCATCAATCTCCTTCCAATCCTTCCCCTTCTTCTTTAAAACCTCTTCCCTCGGCCTCGCCGCTCCAAAAGGATTCGACCCTTTACTCTTTGCCTCCACCTCCTTCTTCTCCTCCCCATTAACCCCATTAACGACCGGCAATGTCCTTCGCTGAAGCACGATCCTCGGCCTCGAACTCCCTCCATTCTCCTCCCTCTTCTTTCCCCAACTATCAGAATCATGAAGCACGATCCTCGGCCTCGAACTCCCTCCATTCTCCTCCCTCTTCTTTCCCCAACTATCAGAATCAACTCTGTTCCCTTTACTTCTCTCCTTATGAAAATCGAAACCCCTCCTTTCTCTCCTTGCTTCATTCGCCGGAGGCAAAGTCCCCTTCTTTGATATCCAGCTGTCCGATTCATCAGCCCTCAACTACGAACCGAAGAACCCTCGACCCCTCTCGGCCTCTCCCTCCTCTTAAACCCCACCGGAGTTTTCTTCGTCGATCCCCAATCATCTACCTCGTCAGTCCGGGACGGCCCGAAATCCCCCTCAGCAAGTGCTTGCGCTCCTCGTGATGAACAAAGGGGGTAGAAAATATTTTGCCCCCCTCAGCTCAGGGCTGGCCCTGGCCCCAACCCTAAACCCAAATCATCAATCAAAATAAATTAAATTTCAAACAATAAACGCCCTAACTATCAAGAACTGAGACTCACGTGGACATGTGGTTGCTGACGGTGATCAGCGGTCGCCCCTGCGGCCGGTCTCAAACGAGATGGAATAGCGTCTCAGAGTTGTGGACCTCGGTCGAGTTGAGGACGTTGGTGGCGACCTTAGCGAGGGTGAGGAGGGGGAGGCGGTGGAGGGAGGGGTCGGGGGGGGGGTGGGGGGGGGGAGGGGGAGGAGGGGGAGGCGGTGGAGGGAGGAGTAGGAGTTGAGGATTTGGGGATTAAAGAGGCGCTGAAAATTTCGATTTGGGGGGAAAAGAAGCGCGGCTGGGGTTTTGACGGGTAAATTTTTTTTTAAATTTCCACGTATCCCAGACGGAAATTTCCGTCTAGGATACACCCTAGACGGAAATTTCCGTCTAGGATATGTGGTAAATTTAAAAAAAATAAATAAATAAAACAACCGTCTAGAATACTATTCTAGACGGAAATTTCCATCTAGAATATTTTATCCTAGACGGAATATTCTAGATGGAAATTTTCCGTCTAGTTTAATACATTCTAGACGGAAAAAATTCCGTCTAGAATATTCCGTCTAGAATACATGGTTTTCTACTAGTGCTTCCTGGACTTGAGCCCGTGCTTGCGCTGACAGTGCGCGGTGCTTGCGAATGCGCTCATCAAGCGTCGAACGATTCCGTTTGACACGGATCCATTCGTTCGTTGGCGGCTTGGAGGAGCTGCCATTCATCGGTGGTTGAGGCTGTTTGCCTCTCCTGCTCTTCAGATTAGCGTGATAGCAGACTCCGTCGGTGGACTCCATCGCCTTTGCGAGTTGCCGCGCCAGGCGTTGACGTCGCCTCTGGTGGGCTCTCTTCGAGAGAGTCACAACGCCCTCAACGGTGGAGGCATCGGCGAGAACAGGGTTGACCTGGTTGGAGGTCGGTGGAACTTCACCCGACGCAACTTTGGCGTCAGCTGGGGTGAAAGCTTCGTTGGCGTTCTGTACTTCTTCGTTCCAACGAACTTTTCTCCTGGAGGAGAACTTCTTGGACTTGCGGGGGGGTGGTGGATCCGGACGAGGATGAAAGATACTCCTCGAACTTTTGCTGGTCGAATTCATACTCGACCTCCTCCTCGACCGGGGATTGAGATCCGCGGCTGTGACGCGACGATCTCGGCAGCGAGATCGTTGGCTCCCACTGTGGTCGCCAGATTGTTCGCAGGAAAAATCGTAGCTTTCTTCATTGAATTCATTGTTCTCTCGAGTAATTGTTTTTCGATTACAAAAGATTCGGTCTTTTTATAAGATCTGGTTACAACGAAATCAAAGAAAAAATAAAAAGATTACAACTTTCTCCTTGTTTGTCGAACGAATCACGAGCTCCTGTTTTGCGGTCACTCGCTTTGGTGGGTTCTTCGCCTGCGCCGGGGTTTATCTGTGGACTACCGCACGATCTAGATCCGGTTGGATCTACACGGTATAACGGATGTTATCTCACGAAGGAAATAACAGCCGAGGGTATTATTTCGCCAAGGAAATAATAGCCTTCTCGGGATCAAAGGCCAAGCTTTGATCCAGAGTATAGTCGTGTAGATCTCAGATCCGATCCCTCTCGAACTCCTGCCTTATTTGACGTGGATGATCGCCGAGCACCGGATCTGAAAGAGCAAGTCTTCAAAGCTTCAAGTCTCCAAGGTTCAGATCTTAATTCAGCAGAGTTTCGGCTCCAAATGTTCCAACCCTTCACAAATGAGCCCATAGCCCTCTATTTATAGCCTCTGAAAGTGGATCTGGGCCCAGATCTGGGCCCAGATCTGAGTGTGGCTCGGTGGCTCGGCCACCCATGGGTCCCTTTTGGGGTGGCTCGGCCAGTGGCTTGGTTTTTGGCCGGGCTTCTTTTCGGGTGTTCGCCGTGTCGTCCGTTGTCCGGTTTCGCGGTTTATCGGTTTATCCGAGCTTCGCCATTGATCTGAATCCTGATTTAGCAGTAAATCCGCTTCGGTGTTCGAGTTCGAATTCGTTCTATGGTTGGATGACTCGTTGACTCCCCGAACCGTTGGCTTGATTCCGCACGCGAATGGATGCATTCGGTTGCTTGCGTGTGATTCGTTAACCTCGTCGCCTCGTTAATCCGCTTCGTTGCGTGTCACTTGGCTTCGGTGTTGTGGACTGACGCTCGTGTTTAGATACGTTACCCGATGGTTCATCGGTTTGTGCCGAGCTGTGCTAAGGGACCTATAAGTAGTTTTATACGCCTACAATACCTTCTTCCCCTTGAGTCACTGGGGGTAGTGGAGGTGTAATTGTCGTGGATGTATCAGCTGATGTAGTTGGTCTCACAGCCGGCTCAACAGGATCAGTCTCGACAAAAGCTTCTGTCAAATACAAAACGGAATTCTCAGATGCATCACATTATAGCTGCATTAGTCAAAAATTGGCTAGTCCTATAATTAACTTGAGAAGAGGCACGTACCTTCAAAAGGACCATCCTCGGGATTCTTAGGGAGTGTAGACACAGGAAACATATCTTTAGGCATTTGGTCATCAATCTGAGGAGAGCCATACATGAAGTGGAGCATAGGAGTGTCCACAAGCAAACCTTCCTCGTCGAAATCATCAGTCAAAAAATCTGACACAAGAAAATATAAATGCGAAAGAAGAATAAAGAGACTACGACCAATGGAAATGAGTTACCTCTTATGGGTGTGTTAGCCTCTCTATTCCCAAGATCCACGTTTGCCTCCCGCAATTTATCTAAAAGAGCAGGAAGCATAGAGACAATTAGGGGAGGCACGAATTCTGAATCGTTCAACTTCTTTGTTTGCCATCTAAAGAGTATATTATCAATGGTAGATGTACCTGGATTCGCTGAATCCGGTCCTACATTGATAGTCTCCCTAACGTCGGCAGCTTCTGCAGGTTTTTCTACCTGGTGTGGTAAGTCAGGCTAAACCAGTCTTGAACCAGTCTTGAACCAGGTTGAACCAGTTCTGAACCAGTTTGAACCAGATTTGAACCAAAATTCAAATTGGAGCTGAACCGAGTGTCGAAACGACTTCAAATCGACCGACGGTTCAGTCCCTTATTTATTCATTCCTCTCCCATATATTCGGAAGGGTCGGAAGATTTTTTGAGCCTAATTACTGCCTTTTTTGGGTCATTATCAGGCCGATTCAGCTCATTCTTAATACTCCAATAAGGTATACGAGTATAAACTATTCCCTATTTTTGTTGAGAAGTTTCTGGAGAGTATTTTTCTAAAAATATTCTTAAGGATAACTCAACAATACTCCGACAAGTATAAGAGTATAAACTGCTTCTCAATCCTCCGACCGGTATAGGAGGTTAAACTGCTCCCTGATACTCCAATAAGGTATACGAGTATAAACTATTCCCTATTTTTGTTGAGAAGTTTCTGTAGAGTATTTTTCTAAAAATATTCTTAAGGATAACTCAACAACACTCCGAAAAGTATAAGAGTATAAACTGCTTCTTAAGACTCCAGCAGACGTACGAGTATAAACTGTGTCAAACGCCGGACAACGCGTTGCAAATGAAGACTCAACGCCAACAATCGATGGTCGGTTCTATGTTGAAACAACAAACACGAGCTAAAGATCAGAAAATCAGGAATTGACTTCAAGTTCAAAATTCCAACAACGGTCAGACAATAAATGCAGCACCGGAACCCTTGCAGACATTCGACAAAGCACCGAATGGCCTAGAGGATTGAAGGAATCAAGAACAGAAGCCATTCCAAAGTCCCGTCATACCGATTGAAGGTTGGGACAATCATATCCAAAGTATTCCAGACTCTTCTATAAAAGAATAAGATTGAAATACTTTGGAGGGGGTATCTGTAGGCGTATAAAACTGCTTATAGGTCCCTTAACACAGCTCAGCACGGTGATTCGACAAACCAACGAACCATCGGGCGATATACCCAAGCAGGATCGTTAGACCACAACACCAAAGCGGATTTACTGCCAAATTAGGATCCGGACTGCCAAATCAGAGTCCAGATCAACAATGAAGTGCAAATAAACTGCGAGACAAAAAAAACGGTAAAACCAAACACCAAGTGGACTCGGCCAAAACCGAGCCACCTTTAGGTGGCTCGGCCAAAGCTGAGCCACCACTTGGTGGCTTGGCCAAAACCGAGCCACCAAATGGTGGCTCGGCCCAAGGCGAGCCACCAAATGGCGACTCGGCCAAGGTCGAGCCACCAAATGGTGGTTCGTGCTTGACCCGAACCAATTCGTTTTTTTGGTGGCTCGGTAGCCGAGCCACCTAGGTGGCCGAGCCACCTGGCTGAGCCACCCGGCCCAGATCTGGTTTGAATAGCCTATAAATAGACCCCTAGGCTCATTGTTTGAAGGAGTTGGAACTTTTGAGGTGAAACTCTGCCAGATTGAGAACTGAACTTCGAAGTTTTGGAGCTTTGAAGGCTCGGGCTTTTTCAGATCTGGATCTTGGTGATCATCCACGTCAAACAAGGCAGGAGTTCGAGAGAGATCAGATCTGAGATCCACACGGTTATCCCCCGGATCAAAACTTGGTTTTTGATCCCG